CTACTACTACTACCACTACTGCTGCACTACTACAGGTACTACTGCTCCGACTGACTGCATGACTCATGACACCCCTCGCCCAGAGTAGCAGTCGCCGGGCCAAGAGGCGGCTTGGTGAAGTCCTCGAGGATGTTGATGGGCCTCAGGAACTTTCGGCTTAGGGTTTTACTGGTTGGCCCTTGAAAGTCTCTGAAAAACTTTAGTAAATAAGGTCCTCTTAGGCCCAATAAGGGAACGTATAAAATATCCCAAAGGCCTACCTAGTTTAGAAGGGTTTAGGGCTTATAAGGGCTTAGGGTATAGGGTTTATAAGGGTTTAGGGGTTTAGGGTTTCGGGGTTTAAGGGGTCCAGGTTTTTTTTCGTATTCTTTCTGGTTTTGTTTTCAAAAAATTTCGTGGTTTTGGGTTCCGTCGCAAAGACTACACATAGAGGTATTTCTTTGCGTGCAGAAGCTGCACATAGTGTTAATCGCTGCGTTCCTTTGCATGCAGAAGCCGCACAAAGACTGCAACTAGCAGCATGCTTTTGCGTACAGAAGCGGCAATTATTGTCAATAGCAGCGTTTCCTTGCGTGCAGAAGCCGCGAAAGCTGTAGATGGATGCAATTCTTTTGACGCAGAAGCTGTAGGAATTGTAAATAGCAGCATTTCTGTGCGTGCAGAAGCGGCAAATACTGTAAATAGCAGCATTTCTGAGTTTCTAGAGGCTGCAAGTAATCTAAACTCGAAACGGCAGAATTTCTCCGACTTTTGCTGAGACGGCAAATGTTGTAAGTGCGAGCCTTTTCTGCGTTGGCCGAACTAGAGCATTTTCTGCGTTGCACGGACTAGAAATAACACAACTAGGAGCCGTGGATTTGCAGAAGCAACACAAAACTCGACATAGGAACATCTCTGAATTTGCTAAGGCGGCAAATACGGTCAATAGCTGCATTTCTGAGTCTGCAGAGGCTGCGAATACTTCGACAAAAGTTGCTCAATCTTGCCACGCGGAAACCAAGGAGGAGGACACTGCACAACTTGTAATCAGCCATAAGCATTGTCATTTGCTTGGGTTACGCTTCGGGCTTTTGCACGTCCAGCTCCCGGGCTGCATTGGCCAACATCACTTGTGTCAGGCGCCGCTGTTGGCACTTTCTGGAACGTGAGACTGGCGATGCACGTCCAGGCTGCGCAGGTCAAAGTACGAACTGCAAGCTTGGACAATCAGAGTCGGGACTCGCGGGGATAGGGCGCAAGAGTCTCTAGGACGAAACACTCGGAACATCTCTGAACCCCAAGGTTTTAGCCTTGGACCCTCCATCCAACTTTCTGTCCAAGTTGTCGCCTGTGCGACATGCTGCGCAACTCATGGACCAGAAGCTGCATCACCTGGGACTCGCGGCGCGAGGCACACGCGTGCAGTGCCGTCATGTGTACTCACAGAATTGCCGACATGAAGCCCATCCAGTCTATGCTTCGTATAAGCGACCCTTCGCAGAGGCACTGCAGAACGACCCGACTTCCCCGAGCTCAGGGTTTGGAGCGTTGGCTCTCGGAGCAGTGAGGCGTCATGTCGGGCGGCCGCTTCCGGCGTCCCTGGACCCGAAATCCGTCAATTCTGAGGCAGAACCGCTGGTGCTTTGGCCACAGTTTGGCCCTTAGGGAAAAGAACGGCTTTTTGGCGCGAAAACCTCGGCAAGTGCCTACGTGAAACCGCGCCCTCCTGCGGTTCGTTGCGTTGATAGGACAGCCGAGTCCACGTACCCAACTTGATTTTGGACTCCTGCGCATCACGCCCTTTGCGAAATATAAGACTTGCCCAAGCAGAGGCCGAAGCGGCCCTAAGACGGAGCGTTGGCTCTGGTCTGCTGTGTGTCCGGGTGCGTGTCTCTTCGTCGCTGGACCCGAGATCCGTCAATTCTGAAGCAGAACCGCTGGTGCCACAGGCCCAATTTCGGCCCTTAGGGAAAAGAGCGGCTTTTTGGCGCGAAAACCTCGGCAAGTGCCTACCTGAAACTGAGGCCTGCGGGTTCCACGAAGGGTCCAAAGTAAGCTTTGCACAAGGCGCGACTCCAATGGACGCGGTATCTACGGATAAGTGCTTCATGGCTTCAAGAGCTTTATTTGGAATTCCTTTTTGCAGTCTGCAAACCGGGACAAAGAAAACACAGCTGAGCAGAGAAGTGGATTTGGAGGCTTTTCTATCGTCCACGCGGAGCCCACACCGACGAATCTGTCTTAGACACTTCGCAGCAAAGCCAAGCGACGCTGTACAACTCCAGTCGGACTCTCCTGCCCAAGACGTTCCTGGGGCATACCTTCAGGAGAAATCTCAGAATGCATCGTCCCCACGCCTGGCAACATCCAGGTTCTTAGCGCCGGTGCTGCCCCAGGAAACGAAAGTGAAACGATCCCGCGGTAGCCTCGTCGCAACATTGAGGGATGCCTGGTTCCTGATGGAAATGTGGTGATTCTCGCTCAGGAGGGACCCATGAAAATGCACCAATGTCTGCAGCACTCCGCCCGGGCTCCACGTGGTCTGCCAGCCCAAAGTTGCGGCAGCCTCCGGTGACAAACGTCGAGCTAAAGCCGCATTCAGCAAGAGCAGCTCTGGAGGCGCATTGGCGCGGATGTGTCGCATCGCTGGACAGCGCGTGGGCTCCGCCCGGGTAGCCTTGGTACTGCCGCAGAAGCTGAAGAAGTACACGGCTGCCAACACACCCATCCCGGGCTCGCGGAGCCAAAAAGTCGGCGCTGCACTCCAGCTGCTCAACACTGTTCGCTCGCAAGCGAGGGCCCAGGCCCAAAGGCCTAGTTGGCCACGGACCACCGTGCAGGGCGCAGTAAGAACATCCTGCTGAAAGCCGCGGGCCGCTCAGTCGGAGGCCGCAGCTGGGACGTTTACAGACCCGCCGGTTCCGCACCCGCCGCGCCACAGGATTCCCGCATTGCAGCTGCCGCCCATGGCGTGCACAGCGGGTCAAGCCGTTCTCAATGCGAGCGCGGCTGAGCTGGATGTTGCAACCGCGCTGGCTGCAAATCCGCGGCATGCTCAACCGTGCAAGGCGAGCAAAGTCTGTGGGGCCTGACCAAGGGGTTCTGGGGCCTTATAGAGTCCGTCAGTGTGGGTTGGTTTCTGCAGTTGCGGGTGTGCGGAAGTGGTACTTGTCAGTCTTCTGCGAAGTGACCTGCTGCTGCGGTCTGTCGCCGCGCAGAGTTCTCTACCAAGGTGAGCCAGCCGGCTGTGCAAACGAATCTTTGAAGCAACTCGCTCGGGCGCCGTGAGCCCTGTGTCCCAGCATACAAAATGAAACCCTTGTCGCGCAGGCTTTGTTTCAAACCTTCGTCGCGCGGCCATGCCACAGGATATGCCTTGTCGTGCCAACCTTGTCCCACTTGTGTTACAAACTTTCTCGCGCAAGGGGCGCCCCGGCCCTGTTACAAACCAGAAGGTTTTGACCCGCACCCACATTGCCATGAGGTGAACTGCACAGAGAGCAGGCAACGCCTATATGAGCGTTTCTCAAAACTTCTCGTTCATGGCTGGATCATGGATGATTTGGGGGGGGGTCCTATCGCTTCACAAGGATTCCGTCACAGGCTTCTGTGAGGTATCGCTTTGCTCTTGTGAAAGTAAGAAGACCATCAGACCCACTGATCCTACGCGTAGCTTGCCCTGCCCTCTGCTGCCCTTTACTCGATTTCTTGCTCCTTTTCCTGGACGTCGCTCCGAGTGCGTCTGGAGCTGTCGCTTGCTCGCGTGCTGCAGCACAAAACCCGGGGAGCGTATTCAAACAGCACCCCTTTCGCCCTGCCCTAGCCACCTTCCACTACAATGAGCCGCCCGGTATCGAGCATCAAGCTTTTGGATCATAGCGCTACTCAGGGATGCGACCGGCTTCGGCTTGAGCTCCTTAGACACACGAACATAGTTGAAAGAAAAGCCTGCAAGGCTGACTTACACGCCGGACGAGGCGGGGACGTCGCTGGAGAGCGAGCAGGGCATGGGTGGTCTCGGGCTTGGAGGCCTGAGACGCAACAAAAATCACCAAAGGCAACCTTGATGGAGCAACTGAGGCGTGGGCGCGTATGCCGAAATGGCTGGCCACGGCTTGCAAGGTTCGGCACTGCCGGTCCCCTATAAAGAGAGACTTGCTGGCGCGAGCGGAGGATGAGGAACGTGAGTCCCAAGGCAGTTCGTAAAGCATGTCGTGGGACAGGGAGAGCAGAAAGGAAATTTCGGAAATTTCCTGCTGAGTGAAGCGCGACTGAGGCGTGTGGGTGACAACCCAGGTGGCAGGGTCGCTGCTGGCCATCACATTTTGCATGGCTTGTGTACTTGCCCTCTTTGCCTCTGTTGGTCCTGACCCTCGCTCTGAGGGTTGTCGCTTGCGCACCTTGGTTGGCGTTGCGCGGGGTGCATCAGCGGCCGACTCCGCCGCCAACTGATGTTTGAGCTTTAAGGTCTCTGTCAAAGTGAAGCCAGCTTCTGTTCGCAGATGCGCTTCGCTGAGCAGGCGGCGGTCGGCGAGGGTGTGGACTCCGAGCGTGCTTAATGCAGCGACGTGCTGCAGAGCTCGGCGCCACTGACTGTTTGCACCAAATCAACCACACTTTCGTGCACGCAGGGACGGGGTCTTGCCTCCGACGGTGCAACAGCAACGCCCGCGCGCGGGTTTAAGCGGTGTTGGCTTAAGGTTAAGGGTTCTTAGGGTTCTTAGGGCTTGAGTTTGGGGTTTAGGGCTTTCTCCAAGGGCGCCAGAAGGAGCAGAAACATGAGGATTTCATCATGGGGGGCCTTAAATCGGAAGCCCAAACCCATCCGTACGGTTGATGATAGAAATCCTCAGCATTACCGTAAGGACCCTAAACTATGGGAATATTATGATATGTTCTGTATCGTGGGTAATGCAGGATTTAGATCATCAGCTGTATGTTTACGGTAGGTGCTTTCTTAGGCGTTGTTCCCACCAGGTACGACCCGTACATAAAATTTCCTGCTATCCTCGAAACCCAAACGCCAAGAAGTTGAAGACATTGGATCATGAACACCCCCTTCAGATCTATACCCAAAACCCAAAACTCATGGGCTCTTGTTAGGGGATGTAATTTAAGTTGCCATAATAAGGAAACCATATTATTTGCTATAGATCCCTAGTATGGTAACTTAAATAAAACCCCAAACTCAAAACCCCAATCTTACTAAACCCTAAACCCCTAAACCCCTAAACCCCTAAACCCCCCAAAACCCGAACCCCTAAACCCTACACCCCTAACCCTAAGAAGCCTGCGGTGCACCGGCTCCCCGCTGCGGCCCGTGTGTGGAAGTTCAATTAAGCTGTGCCGATGGCACCGGCGCATCCAATGAACCCTAAACCCTAAACCCTAAACCCCAAACCCTAAACCCCAAACCCCAAACCCTAAACCCTAAATAAACCCTAAACCCTAAACCCTGGCCCCCGGAGTCGCCACACCCCCTCCCCCCTAAGTCTCACAGTCTAACATTCTGGCAATGGTACTTGGAGGTTCATAGCTAGTTATAAGTAGGGTTATAAGTAGGGTAACTATAGTTATAACCTATATTAGGGGACTTATAACTCCACTTATAACTACCCATGAACCTCCAAGTAGGCTATGGTCGATGCTTGAGTTTCCCTATGCTAGACAGGGATGTAGATTAACAGAAGTCTGAGCGAAATCAGATAAGCAGGGAATGAGGTGGATGCTGTTACGCGTAGGGCGTCAGTGGACTTCGTAAGGAAGGTGTATGGCTAACTGTAACTGCAGCTGCACTCCACTTGCTAAGTCCCCCTGATCCTTTAAGTAGACACCTAAACCTCTAGAAATCCGTGTAGCAACGCTTTAGAACCCTCTAGAAAACCGTCAAAGCCTTTTCTAGGGTTTAGGGTTTCATGTACCCTTAAGTACGAGTACTGACTTCACTAGCCCCCCTGAAACCCTGAAAGCTGGGAGCCAAGACACAGCCCCTCAACCCTTACAGAACCCATAAGGGAAGTTCTCTAAAGTAGGGTCCCTTTTGGGGTCCCTTTTATAAGGGTGCCGTTCTATATTGGGGACCCAAAAAACGGACCCTAATTTAGAGAACTACCTATATGGGCTTAGGGTTTGGGGGCTTTATGAAACGGCCCTGTTGCAGGAACCCTTTGCAGGAACCCTGACAGGAATCCGTCCCGGCTTTCAAGAAATCCTGAAAGCAGCTCTTAACAGCAGCCCCTTCCAAGGAATCCTTAAAAGAGCTCTCAAAGGAACCCTTTCAAGTTAATCACTCCTGAAACTGCTCTTAGAAGCAACCCTTTCCAAGGAACCCTTAAAGAAATTCTTAAAGGAACCCTTTCCAGGAACCCTTAAAGGAGCTCTTAAAAGCAACCCGTTCCAAGGAGCCCTTAAAGAAATTAACCCGTTCCATGGAGCCCTTAAAGAAATTCTTAAAGGAACCCTTTCCAGGAACCCTTAAAGGAGCTCTTAAAAGCAACCCTTTCCGAGGAGCCCTTAAAGAAAGGAGCTCTTAATAGGAACCCTTTCCAAGGAACCCGTCAAGGGAGCCCTAAAATCCCTATAGAACCCTTTAAAGAAACCCTTAAGGGAACCCCATAACTCCACTTAGAACTACCCATGAACCTTCAAGTATGACCCCTTATAGGACCCCCTTAAAGGAGCCCTTATAGATCCCTTAAAGGAACCTTATAACTACCCATGAACTTCCAAGTAGGAACCTTAACCCGAGACCCCTAAACCCCTAAACCCTAAACCCCTAAACCCCTAAACCCTAAACCCTAAACCCCTAAACCCCTAAACCCCTAAACCCCTAGACCCCTAAACCCCTGAACCCTTCAAGAAAGGCCCAGCGGCAGCAGGATGGGAGTCGGCTTCACGTAGCGGGCGAAGTAGCCGAGGCCCTTCTTGGCCAGGCCACCTTTAGGGGGAGGGGCTCTTGGGGGGCTGTAGGGTTTAGGGCTTAGGGGTTTTGGGCTTTAGAGTTTAGGG